TGTGTGTGTGTGTGTATGAGGTCACATTCAACGAGACGTCGGCTCCAACGAGGCAATCCTTAGTCCCCGATTTTTTTCCTTTAAATCTCTTTGTAATAGCCAGCTCCAATGAGGTTGCAGATAGACCGGAGTCGCTTTCAACGAGGTCGCTATGATCAAATAAAAGCAGTTAGGGACCCCAAAGGCGAAGAATTGTTCTTCTTTCTCTCCATCTCACGCGAAGCACAGGGCCCATCCTCGATTCCTAACGCATTGTATTATTGCTAAATGTAGTGTAGCTCCTAATATTAGGGGCCTCAAAGCCAAGAGGATGGGTGAGGGTTAGTTTACGGTAGGGGTGGGAGGGGGTGGGTGGAAAAGCGACGCGGGCTGTGTGAAACTGGGTGAACTCTGAATGAATAGGTCTAGATTGAGAGCTTCATTTTTTTTCAATTTTCTTTTCTTTCCCTGATCAGAAAATTCAAGCTCCCGCCTTTACTTTATGTAGATCTAGGCTTAGTATGTGAGAGTGAGAGGGTATGTTTCCCCTCGAGAAGTGTTCCAGAAAAAATATATCTAAAACCGGCATGTTGAGCTTGTTGGATCCGACCTCTCGTTGAACGTGACTAATGCTAAAGACTAAAGAAAAGAAAGGAGACAAGTTATTATATTACAGGATGTACCAAAAATTAAAACAGTTGTTCCCCTTGATGACGAAAATCTCAAACAGCATCAGTGTGCGCGTGTTTGAGCTGTATTCTCTCCGTCATTTCGGCTTTTTAAAATGTTTTTTCCAGAATACTTCTCGTGTGGAAACGTACGCTCTCATATCTAGGCCTAGATCTACATAAAGTAAAGGCGTGAACTTGGCCTAGATCTACATAAAGTAAAGGCGTGAACTTGGATTTTCTGATCCGGGGAAGAAAAGAAAATTGGAGAAAAAAAAATGAATGTCTCGATCTAGATCTACTGATCCAGAGTTCATCCAGTTTCACACATCGCGTTCCCACCCACCCCCTCCTATCCCTACCTGTAGGCCTATCCTCGCCCATCCTCTTGGCTTTGGGACCCATAGATCTATTATTACGAGGCACACTAAATCTAACAATACAATACGTTAGGAATCGAGTATGGGCCTTGTGCTTCGCGTGAGATGGAGAGAAAGGAGAAAAATTCTTCGCTTTTGGGGCCGTTAATTGCTTTTATTTGGTTATGGTGACCTCGTTGAAAGCGACTTCGATCTGTTTGCAACCTCGTTGGAGACGCTACATTTACAAGGAGATATAGAGGAAAAAATGGGGGATTCATGATTGCCTCGTTGGAGCCGACTTCTCGTTGAATGTGACCTCGTTGAATGCGACACCCACTATATATACATGATACATAATACCAATACAAACACCAATTTTCACACAGAAGTTCTCTTTCAGTTCTCACATCCATTTTTAATTTTAAGGACAAACATTTGTAAATAGCAATACCTTTTTGTATATATCTACTAGTATGATCGTTCGCATACATCCATACATCTTTTAGCAAGCATTGCACAAAAACTTCCCTTTCTTTAAACCCGTTTTCTTGCACTCGCTGGTGGCTGTTCTTCTAAAAGTATGTTAAAGTTAATAAAGTGCAAGATCCAAAATAAACACGCCGGTCATGGTTGACCACTTTTTCCTCTTCTCAGATGATCTTTAAAAAAGAGTTCCACATAATATCACTGGCTGCTTTTTCTCGTTGAAGGCATCTACGCAAGTTATTCTTTGACTTTCTTTCTTACTGCCTACTTCGCCTTCTGTTTTTCTTTCACTGTGATAGCTAGATATTCAAAGCCCTTATGCCGATTCAAGTGTCTTAGGAACAGCTTTTGCCTTTTACGAATCAGTTTTTAAAATGTGTACTTTTTGAAATTAATATCTTTGCCTCACTAGCTTCTTAGTTTTACACCCATCTCATTTGATTTCTTTGCCTTTCATGAAAATCACAACAGTCTCCTGAGAAACCGTATTTCTGTTGCCTCTAGCCTACATTTGTCATCGTTTGTGATTAGGTCAACCAGATAATCAAACATTTGAACTTGTCAGATAATGCTTACGTTTTATTCTTTTTTTAAAAATCAAGGTTACAGGTTTTGAGGATTTAAGGGGAGGTTGTTCGTTTGTTGGTTTTTGTTTTGGGGAGGGGGGTTGTTTTGTTTTAATTTTGTTTCTTTTTAGGGAGGGGGGTGGGGCGTAAAAGTGGACACATCTTTTTTTTTTTTTTTGGTGTTCATATAAATGACAGACACAGACTGGTATCAGGTGTCTAAAAAAGGACCCATTTAAAGGGCAATAAATAGGGCAGCTTTAGACAAATTTTAATGAAACTTTGAAGAAATAAAATTCAACCAGGGGAACATTACATATTTTTCAAAATGAAACAAATCAAGCACCCTGTTCGAAAAAAAAAATCAAGTTTTTAAAATTGAGTGAAACGCAAAACTTTGTAACTTCGTGAAATTCTTTGGACGTTCTGTTCAACATTGAGTTTCCGCTGTGTGATCGTTTGTGACTTGTTTCCGAAGAGTCTGTTAACGTTCGGCCTATAGTATAAGGCGTTCCCCAAACCAGTCTTTTAAGGGTCACTCTAGACATTTGGGATGTTGCCTCATCCCACTGGAACCAAGAATCTACAGCTTAACACCTTCTCCTCTCCAAACTTCTCCAGAACTTTCTCGGCACGGTGAGATGTCCATCTGATGTGACTGTCGTGGTTTTACCGCCCTTGTCCTGAAACCAGTAAGGACCGGTCACCCCCTTGTAGCTGAACTTTTCTAAGAAGTGAAATTTTGCGTCCCAAATCTGGTTGAAATCTTTAAAACTAGGTTTTTCACTGAGACATTGGCTAATTTTCTTTTTATTAGCAAACTTGGTGCCCCCCCCCCCCCCCCTAAAAAATAATACGGCTGAATTATATTTATTCGAAGTTCTGTTAAAAATTAGTGCATCAATGAAAGATATGTGGGTCCTCTTTTCAGATGATATAACGTATGATTGTGCGTGCGCGCGTGCATGTGTGTGTGTGTGTGTGTGTGTGTGTGTGTGTGTGTGTGTGTGTGTGTGTGTGTGTGTGTGTGTGTGTGTGTGTGTGTGTGTGTGTGTGTGTGTGTGTGTGTGTGTGTGTGTATGTGCGTGAATGTGTGTGCACGCACGCACACACGCAAGCACATACACACACAAACATAGGTGTATAGATCTACATCTGATCTCTGAATTGAAATGGTACACTAGTACCATTCTGCGTCAGTCGAGCTTTCATTATGACCGAAAAAAGCTGTACACCCACTTTTACCCCCCCTCCCCCGGATGAAAACCTCCCCCAAATCCTCAAAAACATACACTGTAAATGACCATCACTTTGTGAGACGAGAGGAGTGCTTCGTAAATGATTGGATAGTTTATTGGCACTGGTATACAGAAAAAAACTAGCGGCTCACCGTCGTCTCAAAAAAAAAAAGATCTGTTGGGTTTTTTTTACTTATCAAAGGGGAAGACCAGGGGGGAAGAACTCATTGGCTACAAAAACCCCGTTTTAGACCATTTAGAGGCAACTGAAGCCTTCTCATATTTCGGATAGCCTACCATTTAGCTAGTTCTTACTTGTTCGCCATGGTTACTCAAGAACTGTCAAAAGAAGCGAAAGTGCTTTTGTATTAATGAGACGAGTCTGAAAAGTCAGAAAACTATACCAACTTTCCAGTTACTTATAGCGACAACCTGCGGTTGTGAAAGTATGGAAACCTGAACCAATAGAGTAGTTTTAGCTATTTTCCCTCGACCCTTCTTCTCTTTATTTGTTTATTAACATAACGTGAGATCACTTTTTTTTTAAAATCGAGAGTTAAATATGTTTCTCTGTGGTCATAGAAAAGAATTTGGGAGATGTCAAATAGCCTACATGTACGTTTAGATCCCACTCTGGTTGAAACATTTTCATTGTTCTACTCATCGTGATACTTGTATATATTCTCGGAGAATACATCGCAAATATTTTGAAACTTTGAGTATTATGGCGCCAACTTAGCACCATATGAATTAAATATGCTTTGCACATGAAGGATGAAGCTTGGGCAACCCTGGGCGTAACTAAAGTTTAGATGGGCGGTTTGTGAGACTCATACTCCAAAGGCAACAGCTAAGTGGTTATTCAACTTTTTTTTTGGGGGGGGGGGGAGGAACACGTTGACAAGTTATCACAGTCTCTCTGCATGTATCATAGATACAATAAAGAAACGTAGAACTGAGAAATGCTGAGACGTATTATGTTCCTGGTCAGCTTTGTCAAATATGTATTATATAAGGCTACGGTGACACGTTTTGTGATTAGTGGAGAAACGCTGGTAAGGATAGTGGTTTATCCTTCTGTCGCGGACAGCCTTGGGCTCGTCATATGAACACCAATTCTAGTCGTCGGAGAAGCTAGACTGAAAGATGAAAAGATACAATAATTTTTTTTTTGATGCTGCAGTTTGATTCGATCTCACAATGTCACATATTTGTAGACTCTATGCAAAATACAGAGAGATCAGGTTCCTAGTTCTCGAAGTCTGATGAGCTGACATTGCGGGTCATAAATGTAGGCCCCTACTCATTTTTAAATGGCTATAGTTGTAACTGATAAAACTATAACAAAATGAAAACAATGTGGTCTGAAATGTGTCTCCCGGCAGCGCCCATGAAGTAGAAGCTGGAACTGTTGCTGGAGCTCTCTAAGCTTTATAACTGAGTGTAATTGTGTGCTGTTGGGTCTGAGCTCAGTGGGCTTGGCCAGTTCAAAGGCTGCGAAGTAAAGGCCGAGGAGGACGGGAGTGAGTAGGACGCAGAGGATGGAGAAAAATAAGGGTTACTAAGCGACGAGATCAACAGAGGTCTGTATGGGTCATCATCTACGGAGACCGAACCTGAAGCTGCGAGTCCATAGACTGAAGAGCCAGAGGTTTGAGTTCGCAGTGGCGAAGTAGGAGGTGGCCATTGAGGGTGCGGTCGAAACAGCTCTGACTGGCGTAAACTGGACAGCATTGCAGGAGGCTCAGCGATTAAAGGGAACGGGAACACTCGGTTCAAGTTGAATGGATTCGTTTGGTTAGGGTGAATTGAAAGCGGGTGTTGTGAGGGGGGCGGGGAGAAGGGGATATCACTAGCCGGTGATTTAGCACTATCTCCACTGATGCTACTGCTACTGCTGCCACCAGCTACACTTCCCGGGCCGTTGCTAGCTAAAGACAAACCAAACAAATTAGTTGTGAGACCGGACGGAGGCAGCGGTCCCTGTGGTGAAGACAAGAGAGAATGTTCAAGCTGCCTGTGAGCGACCGCTGCTGCCACGTTGGATGAGTGGTTCTTGTAAGAGCCCAGGAGGTCTGAGAGTACGGGTAAGTTCTCGTATATCGGAGGCTGTGTGGTCAATGAGTGTGGGGCCGCTGACACAGCAGCGCTGTGAAAGAAGTTGGCCAGGCTTCCCTGTGGATTTGTCGGCGAGGGTAAGCTCAGCGAGGAGCTTATAAGGTGTGCCGATGCGAGATCTAAAGATGGTCTCTGTTGAAGCAAATCCGTACCTTCCATACTACTAGGTGCTGGGAGTCCAGGGTAACCACTGAAGGCGTCATTTATACTCAGTGAGCTCCCAGTGTGGAGAGTCCTATTTTCTCGAGGATTCTGAAAAGCTGATGTCCCCCCTGCATGTTTAAATCTGTTGGCAGATGTATTTAGAAATGCTGTAGGAGTTACCTTGTTAGGGGGTGCTACCATATCATAACGCTGGAATAGTTTTTGATTTTTGCACAATGAGGAAACATTAGAGAGTGCTTTACTCGGCACAACAGAGGAGTGTCTCGAAGGTTTTGATCTGCTCTTCTTTTTACTTTTCTTCTGTTTCAAATATTCGTTGTCAAATTTGTTCAGCTCAGCAATCATGCTGCGTAATACCACAGGTGAAACCATGGAGGACTGAGATAAAGTTGGATCGTCTGCAGCAGTCTGTGCAGCTCCGGTAGTAATGGAGCCCCACTGGTCGGTCTGGCTGGAGGAACCAACGCTGTCATTACTTACAAGGCTACTGGGACCCCCGTATTCCGACGCATTGTTGCCTGAGAGGGACGGTGGTTTGTCTGTTGTGGTGCTCTCTCTGACTCCATCATCTACACGTCCGCAAATGTCAGTAGCAGATTTGTCATCCACAGGGTCAGTATTTTCGCTACCTGTAGCGTCTGCAGCTGACCCAGAGCTGATAGTGGTTGAGGAATTGCTATCTTTGACATCAGGCTTGTGGTTGGAGCCTTTGGTGACCACGTCTTTGCGACGCCGATTCTGGAACCAGATCTAAGGACGAGAAAATGGCATAGGTTTTATTTAATAGTTTTGTGTGTTTGTTTGCTTTTGTAGGGTTTTTAAATCTAAAGTGAATTTACATGCTGAAGCTTTGGGCAGCGCCAAAGATTGTACCAAAATAAGGCATCTATTTAAAGAAAAAAGTCTTCGTAAGCGCCTATGCTGGCATCTAGGCTATGCATTTGTTGGGTTGTATAAAAAAGCAAGTTGAAGACATAAAGAATTAAGCTATATACGCGCGCGCGCGCACACACACA